CCCAGCCCCAAACCTACCCAGCCCCACTGCCTCCGCTGCCAGCAGCAGCCACACTGGAGGCAACCAAAGCTCCAGGTGAAGGCACCTCCCGGGCTTCCAGACAGCCTGGCCGGGCTGGCACAGGGGCTCCCCACAGGGAAGGGCAGTGCCTTCACAGCCCTGCTCCCCCTGCCATCATAAATGCCCACTTCAGGCTAATCGGCGCGGAGCTTTCATGTCCAAACCGTAAATTCTTGTACTTACAAAGGCAGACACGGATCCTGGTTTTAAGCAATACACTAAGCAAACGTTTCCCTGATTAAAAGAAAACGGACTACTTTTCCTTTTGCTTTGTTGTTTAGTTTCAAAGGACGTTTAAATAACAATATCTGCTAACAAAAAGGGTAGCATCAATTAGAAACAAAAAGAGACAAGTTTGTATAATTTCAGTGTTCAAAAGCAGTGAAATGCAAACACCAAAGCAGCACACACCAAACCAAACCAATCCCCAAAACCCACATTAAAGGCAACCTTGCCCTTCTTTCTTTCTTTTATTTTTTTTTTTTTTTGTAAGCTGCCTAGAATTCATTTGCTTTCAGTAGCCTGAGCTACTGAAGGCAACAGAATAACCTTCTTAGACACAATTCAGCTTCCAAACACGACATTACTAAGACACAGAAGGACAGGCATACCCACGTCCTCCTGCCTACAGACAAAGACTCCAAGGGTTATTTTTCAGACTTGCTCTCCCATCTGGCTGCTGAGCCTCAGCTAAAAAAGGGACATTTCAGTCTCTGAACCCTGAACTCAAGCAGCTACATGCTCCTATTGCCCAACCATCAGCATGAGCAATAGGATGCCAAAGGAAATTTTCCACACCAAATACCTCATTAGCCAGACAGGCTCCTAGACTGTTTCTCTCCACCTTGGGAAAAGCCCCACAGTCTTTGGGTACCACCACCACCCACACACGGGGCCAAGGGCACATAACTGGTTGGAAGATGAGCTATCAATTTTCACCTAGACATCAGAAGAAATGGGGAGCAATCCTGGACGGAACACGAGTTGGTGCATCGCCTTCAGCTCGGATCAGCAGTAACCCAGAGCAGTGTTCCCCTGCAGGGAGGGTGTTATAACCATCACTGAATGCTGGATAACGAGACGATGAGCATCGCAGAAAAACCACATGAATAGGTAATCAAACTTGTTAATGCAATTTAGCAGTTCCAGTCCAGCAAGAGCCACGGCAACAATACACATTAATCATCAATAACGCTCAGTGGTTTGACGAGGGCAGGGGAGTGAATGAGACAGGGGAATTAGCTCTGCTTTCCCTCCCTCCAGGAAGCTCTGCTGAAGTCACAGAGATGTCACACCTCCAGAGCAACACGACCCTGTCAGCTTCCCTGCCCTCTCCTCCCATGCTCCGAACCCAACACGCTATTTATGAGCCCTAAATCCGGCCTACACCACCCTGTTTTCCTCAGCTTCTCTTGAGACTCTTCCTCATCTCGGGTGATTTAAACAGTGGGTGAGAAAAGGAAGGAGGAGGTGTAAGACACTAATCTTCGTGACAAATGACTATTTGCAGAATAGAGTGTTATTGCAGCCACATTTAACATCTAAATATATTCAAACACACCGTGATGCTCCCAAACTGACTAACCACGGAGCCTGAGGTTAAGGTAACTGGAAATACCAGCAACTCTTTCCTATTAGCCCCAACTCTTTTCAGGAGGGCAGTGTACAGAAAGGTCAATGGGTCCTGGAACTCGGAAAAAAAATATTTTAAAATAATTTAAACCAAACAAAAACCAAAACTCAAAAACCAAACAAACAAAATCCCAAAAAACAAACAAACAAAACACCAAAAAATCTCAACAAGCCCACCAATTGTTCTACGCCCACCGTGCTCAGACGCTCAGAGGAATAAGCAGCTCCAAAAATGACACCAAGCTGAGCTAAGGCTAATCAAAGACTGACTCCAGGCTCAAAGGGTGACTCTCCAAAAACCAGCAGAACAACACAGGACACACAAGGAAGCACTGGAACTAAAATTTTTCATTTTATACCTAACCCTTACTGAATCTAACTGAATTATACACCCAACCACAGAGGAATCCTTTCAGAGAGGATCTCTGACTAAAGGACCTGTAACTGTTGGAAATGCCCTTTCCTCCCTCTGCTTGGTTACAGCAGGAGATAAAAACGTGTTTGAATGATTTCAATACCAGGTTGGGAGTAATAGGCTGGAAAGGACAGATTGGTTCTGTTCTTGCAGCCCTCTCCCCATAGCCTGAGGTACAGAACAACCAAATATTCAGGAGCAAACAGCAATCTGGATGCTTTGTCAAAGGCAGTGAAGTATTAATCTAATTTTCTAAACAAAGCAGACAACCTGGCACTCAAATCAGCTTACCACTTTGCACCTCTCTACAAGGATTAGCAGAATACCATAATTATAATGCCCAATTTGATTTATTAGAGGAGGCTGCATAGAAAAGATGACAATTCAGTAGCATTGTGAAGAGAAGGGATGAGAGTATAAGGAAAGCTTCAAATTGAACAGTAATTTCTAAGCAACATCTCAATATAATTAGCATTAATTACAGTAAGCTCTCCAAATTAGGTATAAACCTATGTTTAATAACCCTGAAATGCAAAAATCGTCCCCCAAATTCCAGGAAACTTAATATTACAGCCAATTTGTCTAGACAGCTTGGCAGGAAATGCCAGAATTCTAGGTGTGAACTTTGTGGTTACTAAGAAAAAAAGGAAAAAATAATTGAACTTGTCTATTTCATGTGCATAATTAGTTTGAACTAAGAATAGCCTAGTTTATGTACCTGAGATTTGGTTGCTACTTTCATCAACCTTACAGACCCCCAAACTTGTCTGGTTTTCAGAACTGTACCAGCTAGGATAATAGAAGGTATTTAAAAAAAACTCCCTTTCCAATAAAAGATAAATTCTAAATGTGAGTCCTTTAGAGAGGCACCGTGTATTAATGAGTCACTCATCACAGCTTTTATTTTATAAGCTTTGTGCAAGCTCCTTGCTCTTTTCAGAGTTTGTTACTTATCCTTACAGGGGAAAACAAAAAGATTAAACAATGAAAGATGAATTCAGGTTTTTATGAATGTGGTGGTAGCAAATCCCCTATTTAATCACTGATGGCAGCCAAATACTAGCCAGAAGAAACAGATAACAGTGTCCTCATTTTTCAAAGTTGAAACACTGATAATCTAAATGTTTAGTAAACTAAGGCAGCAGCGTTTAATGACAGAAATTGGGGTTTGCCAACGCAACAAAAACTCTTGCCCCCAAAGGCTTCTGAAGAAGTGTCAAGAAATACATGCTTGGGTTTGTGGGTCTGGAAGCCAAGAAAAGGATCCTAGTTGTTCAGACTTTCACGGAAACTAAAATGTGCATCTCTTCATCCGTAATCAGAAACCATTTCAGCTGGCGCAGAGCACAGTTTGTGCACAAGCTCATTGCACCTGTAACCAGAGGGGGAACTGAAATCCTTATCACTCAACTGGTACCAAAACCAATCAAGAAACTTGATTTATCTTAACTACATAGACACCGATGAGTCTAAACCCAAAACATTTGGTGTCACTATGGGGAGTTAAAAGAAAACAAACCTGGCAAATATTTTTCCTGGGAGTGCATGATTACACAATTTGCTACCCAAATGTTTGCAAGCAGAAAAGCACTAACATCTTTACATAAATTATTTGTACTGAACTATTCCAACTATTTTTTTTTTAATCAAAAGAAAAAAAAAAAAAAAACAAAAGTCTGCTAATTTGTTAAAGAGAACAATTAGCCACCACAAGAGCAGGGTCATGAGCAGATCATGAGAATTTCTAACTTAAAATGTGACAAGCTCTTCTGAACCAATATGCTATAACACAATCCCAAAAGACTGTGTGTGGTGGAGAATTATGTCAGAGGTTAAATTAGATAACCTTAATGATTCTTTCAAATCCTACAATACTGCAAGTCTGAAAAAACAATTCCAGTAAGGGGACAATTCAATCTTTCCCTGTCTGGCACACACACACAGGATCAGCTGCACAAAACAGAAGGTGTGCTTGGGTTAAACAGCCCTTTTTCTCTGCATCACAGAGGAGAAAAAAAAAAAACAGTTTTTCATTGCAGTGTGCTTCTTAGCTCAGAAGAAATGCTGGAAGCTCAAGGACACTGCTGTTCCCACTGGCTCCCACCTGGCACCCCAGTTAACGGGCAACTGGGAATGTGTCCATAGACAGATGCTGCTGTGCCATGGGGATTGCAAAACAATGAGCGCTCACAGATCACCAGCAGATCTCCCTGCCGAGCAGCAGTTAGGTGATGAAGAGCCTGCCAGCCACAGTGCCTCTCCTTTGTCACCTCCAGGCTCTGAACGTGCTGTGGCTCAGACGGGAGGCTCTGCAATCATCCCCTCCCACACGGCAACTCCTGATTCATTAATGCTCCACCACGTTGGAGAAGGGCACAGAGGAGAGACAGCCCAGAGCACAGCTCCCTCTCCAAACTGACTCTCCACTTCTAAAATACCTGAATAGTCTCTCCTCCTCAGCATACCGTTCTGGGGGGACGTGATTCATGAGACGGGCATAGCCGTGTCTGAAACTTCCAGGGGCACATTAGCAAGCACACCTTCCCCAAAGGAGGTTACAATCCAGCTTGTGATCTCTGTGTCTGACTGTAAGAGCCACAAACCTATGGCACGAATCACCACACTGTCTCAAAGCTGCAGGATACAAGGGAGTTCTGCTTCTTCCTTCCTACGTTACCCAGGACACCTGATCTTCCATTTCAGCTTATGAAACCTGCCCTCAATACAGGATTTGTGCCACTCGGCCAAGAGTCTTCTAAGAGACGCTGTTTTCGCCAGCACAAGTTACCAGAGAAGCCATTTACACGAACAACCTCAACCCACCAGCAAGGACAACACTGCACAGTGGCCAGTGCCGTGACACAGGCGCTTCAGAGGAGGAGTAATCTCCTACCTGTTTGGACTTCAGGGGGAGTTTCTTCTTCATCCGTTCCTTGCCTCTGTCTGCCTCTCTCTCGGAGCTCCCAGCATCATTGTTGTGGCCATTTTCACTCGGCTCAGCAGATACACAGTTTTCAGATTCTCTAGGTTTCTTTCCTGGATGCCTCTCCCATTTCTCCTTCCTCTCCTGAGGCTTTAGCGACATGTCCTTCTGCAGAGGAGGAAAAAAAACAGAATCATAAGTTCTTCACGTTCTTTAAGGCTACTTCTAAGCATTAAGCCGTGCAAATATTGAATAAAAACACAAACAAGACAGCATGTTCCTTCCAGAGATGACTTAGGATGAATAATTAGGCACGCACAATGCAAACAGTAATTTTAGATTAGATTAGGATGAATACTCTCCAGGCTATGTGTTTGATTAATTTCAGAGATGCTGGAACTGGTTATGAAAATGAGTTCACTCCAGATTAATTCAGGAACCGTACGTCAACAGCACATGACCAAGCCAGGATCCTGAAGGGAAGCCTTTAACTGCTCAACTGAAACAGAGGTGGGTTTTATTTTGTTTTGTTTCTGATCTCAGAACGAAACACATCAGACCCCCCCTTGGGGCTGGCAGTGTCTGATTCACCGCAGCATTCATATGGAGAAAGGCACTTCTAAAGCCCAACCACGCACTCCCTGAGCCAGAGAGATCAATGGGATCCAAACACACAACAGAGGTTGAACACTTCTAAGTGTTAAGTGCCTGCCCTGAATCAGGGCTGTAACTACAGTCTAGGCACAGTTTAAAAGCGGGGTATGTCATGTCACAATGATTAACATCAGAAAGTGAGATCAGAGAAGGGAATTACTCCTGCTATCCCCGGCATCTCTGAGGACTGAAAGCTGAACTCCCAGCGACAATGTACCAAATTCTCTCCTTACACACACCGCATGGAAAAGGAGTTAAAGAAATAATAAGTCAAATCACTATGACATTAGTTCACTACAGCTAGATAAATTTTTCCCCCATGTCTTCTATTAACAGCTCGAGGATAAAAACTGAACTCTTACGGGAATGTTTTGCAGAATCACTATTCCAATTAATTTTTTATCTGAGGTAAATACATCAGATTAGGATATACCTTAAAAGCACTGCTTACCACGCCAAGATCTGTCAACTTCACCCACAGATATTTTTCTAAATGCCTTGCTTCCAACTCGAGCAATTACATCAGGGATATTTGTATCCTGTGTGAAGGGAGCTTGCAGTGCAACTGCTCACATCAATGCACACACCTTCAGAACGGCAAAAGAGCTCATGAAAATCATTAGCTCTCTAGTCTTTCGAAAACTGAAGCCCAGCAAAAAAGAAAATTAGGAACTGGGATGAAATGCCCTGCTGATTGCTCCAGATTACTTCCTCCCCCTCTCCTTTAATTAGTGAATTGACTGCCTCAGTGTGCAACATGCTGATTCCACTCCAAATCACTCACTTGTTTGAAGTTACCCTTCCCTGGGAAGGGAGATGATGTACTGACACCGTGGGGTCACAGAGACACTGAAATCAGAACCACAGCAATAAAATACCTAGCGCTATGTCCGGTTCCAACCCAGGCTCTGACACAATTAGCCAGCACCCAACCTCTGTACACCTTGCACAGGGGGCCTGTGGGGCTGGAGCCTCCTCTTAAAGCACACACAGAGACAGCAAGTTGCAAAACCGCCAAAAAGATACAACCCCTCCACCAAAATTCAAATAACTAGCACTGCCTTAGAAGCACAGAACACACCAGAACACAGCTCAGCCTGCCAAGCCCATAACTAAGGGAAAGAGCAAGGAAAATGACTGTCTGGCATTATTCTCCATGAATGGTAAAAACAAGGAGTATAAATTAGTGTTTAGTTGCTCGGTTTGGTTTTTAGTTTAAAGGCAACACTTTAAAGCAGCAGTTCGGGATGCCACTTAAAGGTCACGTTGCCCTGTTTACTGGGAGGCTGCTGAGATAAAAATCAAAATGCTAATCTTTAGTAACTGATCAAAACCCAGTGACATGGAAATGATACCTGCTAACTGATGCTCAGCAAAATATTAGACACAGCAGTGACCACAAGCGTGCACTTCTTCGCAGTGACAGCAGGAGCATGGAAGATGCTGCAGGAGGTGACATGGGCCCTGCTGAGGGAGAAAGGAGGCTGGGGCAGGGAAATGCCACCACCTGAGAGCACCAGCCAATCATCCACTCCTGGCTCGGGGTGCAATATTCACTTTTAAGGATGCCTTCAAAGCTAGTAATTGAGCATTTTGGTTTCAACTCTGGCTGTCTTCACGTGGTGATCTGGCCTCTGTTAGTGCTTTAGGGGAAGTCTTCCCTCAGTACCCACAGCAGGTTCACTGCAGGTTTTAGATGATTCACTCCACCACAGAACTGGTCTGGAAATCCGTGCTTTTCTCCTTATCCAATCCTACAAAAACTCCCTCCCTGGAAATTTAGCCTTTTATCCCAGTTCCATTTGGAGATTTAAGGTTTGTCTCATCACTGAGCTACCAGCAAAATTAATTCAGGGAATACAGTTATAGCTGGATCGAAGCCAAGGAAATAATTCATTCACTTGTAGTGCCACTTGCATCCAAGAATCTCAAGCACTTTTCAGACAGCCGTGAATGGAGCCCCAGCCCGGGCAGCTGGGGCTGCTCTTGCCTGCAGCAGGAGGGAGGTGGCAGGAGGCTGCAGCTCCACAGCACTGCTGGGGCAGCCACGGGGGGGAAAAAAAAAAGCCAACTTTGCTGACCTGTGACAAGAAAACTACTGCTGCTCCACAGTCCCACTCCTCCCCACTCGAGTAGAGGATGCAGCTCACAGGGTTCTATCCTGGGAAGGCAGGACACTGATGGCAGCATCTCCCTGCTGACAGAGGGTGACAGCAGCGGGGCTGTTCTTTGTGCTGCTCAATGCAGACCTCTGCAGCCTCAGGCAGAGAGCAGGAGGGGGCTAATGGGCTTTCTGTTCTTGCCTCCTTTGTCTCCTTTCTATTTACCCTACTAAAAGAGCCTTCCAGCGAATTGCTCTTTTGCTAAAGTTTATGACCTCCAAGTTGGGGACCTCACTTAGCACACAAGAGCTTACTATTTTGGGATGCGCATCTCTGCTCGTGCTGGAAAAATTTAAGCACAGACAGAATATCCAGGACATCACAAGGGTGAATGTTTATTGATGCCCCTTGACTGACTTCAATCCAGAAATCCCAGCTGGCAGGTGAGACTGGCCTGAAAAACTGCCCCACTGGAGCCTTCCCCCAGGGCAAGCCCAGACCAGCAGATATTTTCACCTTTGCACATCACATAAAGCTCAGGGATTCACACAGCGATAGTATCTCAAGTCAGGCACCAAAGTCAAAAGGTCTCCACATCCACTCTTGGGGTTTCTGCCCAAACCAGGAGTCTGCAGACCTGGCTACCTTTGCTGTCACAGGGCCAGTAAATCCCCCTCTCCAGGGAAGGCTAGTGGATCCAGGCCCATTCTCTCTTCTCTGTTCCAGAAAGGAGATCGCTAAATCTTGTTCCAGAATACAGACAATTATTTTGTTCCTTACTACTCACTGCTTCCAGGGCTGTCTCCTACCTGTCCTCACTTAGGAATTTCTCTCACACCTTCCAGGGCAGGCTACAGCCTCTCCATCTGCAGCCCCTTGTCTGTCTGGGCTGCAGACGGAGAGCAGATGGTTTTAATTGGCTGCATGGTTACAGATAAGGAAGAATTAGGCCTTTCTTCAGAGCCTCCTTGCTGGCAGTTCCTCCATGAAACACACAGATTCCATCTCCCCACTCGTTTATTTGGGTGTACAGACACCAAAGAACACTTCAGCCGAAAACGGGGTCGCGGTACCTCCTCCAGCTCTACCTGAAACGCCTCCCACGGGAGCAGCTGTGAAGATCCACTGGCAAAAGACCTTGGCACAGGCTGGCAGGGTCTGCAACGCATTTTGGGGGTCCATATTAAAAACCTTTGTGATTTTTTTTTCTTTCCCACCATCATTCAGCCCAAGCTAGTTAAAGTTATGCAATCGCACCTCCGCTTGCGGCGGAGCTGGTGGCATCCTTAATCACTTGGAACACTCCTTCCCAAAAAGCCATTTTTCTTCTGTCACCAAGGCACAGCTGCAATCTCCAAAGGCACTCAAGGTGCACAGCGCTCAGTTCATAAATAAAGCCGGGAATAAATGCGGGTGCACCGCCCTCGGCTCTGGAACGAGACCGTTCTTACCCCTAAAATGCCACAGCAAGAGCCTTCTGCACAATGGGCTCCACGCTGTCTGTTTGATCAGGAAATAATGATCAGCCCTGGAGGACCCTGGCACGAGCTCAGATCCACAGCCATCCGCTGGCTGGAGTTATCACTGCCTGTTTGCTCAGCCCAGCTCAAACTCTGCCTTAATCCTCTGAATTTACACAGCTCGGAGATCTCGGAAAGCACGCAGGGGAAGGCTCTGGTTGGAAATACCTTTCACACACAGGGAATAAACACTTGAAGAACCTGAAGAAAATGTCCAAACCCCACACGGCTGGATGAAAACCCTCGAGAGTGTGCTGCTGGGACGCAGAGGGCAAAAATAACACCTACAGTTAATAAAATAACTGCTCTCAGCCCTCAAGCATCAGTTCAAAACACGGCCCTGGTGCGAAATCAAGCCCAGTGCAATCCCCTGTCCCCAGGGCCCGTCGGACACCACAAGGCTCAGCCAAGGACTGGTTACACTCTGCTCCTGCCAGACTGCAGGAGATTATATGGGCTGATTTCCCAGAAGGGAAACAGCCTCCAGCTTCTCTCTCCTCAACTCCTCACTGCAGCACTCATTCCTTAAGCTGAGGAACACGAAATGCCGCCCTGTACATCAAAGAGGAGAAGGGTCCACACAAAGGAAATAAAAAACACATCTGTCTCTGAAAATGAGCCCCGCTTGTCCCTGTTTCTGCCTCCAGCTTCTCAAAAAAAAAATTGCAGTGTAAAAGCCCCTGAGGATCTGAGCATCATCTACCCTTATATCAACTTTATCATGCAATTAGCAGTAGGGTTGTCAAACGTGTTTGTTTAATAGTTCAGAGAGAGATCCTGGCTCAGAGAGCAATTGAAACAGATTTATTTTTAATTAGCTTACTTTTAAAATATTTCTATTGACCTGATACTCAGTTTGTAAAAACAGCAACACAGAAACAACCGCTGACAA